CCATTACTACGTCTGGGCTCAATAACGACATATATAGGCTGGAGAATTTTACTGCCGGTGTAACCAATTTTGTAGCTCCAGGTGCACAGTACCCTTTTACACGTACATGTACCTCCGTGACTGGAGGTTTTGTTTTCACAATTTCAGTGCTTCTGTTTATATGTGTTTGCTGGATAATGTGTTTTTGTGATTACACTGACCAGAATGTATGGCAAAAATCTCAGAAAAAGTCAGTGGGAAAAAGCATAACTTCAACAACAATAATTATAACGACACAGGCTGGAGAAGTTTACTGCCGGTGTAACCAATTTTGTAGCTCGAGGTATACGGAGTAAGGTTTTACCTCCGTGTGTGGAGGTTTTGTTTTCGGTGCATCTGTTTGTGTGTGCATGTATGTTTGTTTGTTTGATAATGACTGTGTCAGTGGTGATTTTTCTATGTCAGGTACAAAGACCAGAATATGAAGTTAATGCAAGGGTCCCAGAAAAGGTCCACACAATTACTTTTCTTGCCCAAAATCAAGTAATTGATTGAGGTGACCTTTCACAAATGTAATTTTTCCTCAATCTGTCAATCTGACAACCAACAAAATTGACTTTATTGCTGCCTGAAGGTGTTACATGGTAGCTTTTCTTGCACCTAATAACACAGAAATCAACATTATTTACCAGTAGATCAAAAGGTATTACTCAGTTTTCTGCCAATACTGTTTTTTTATGAGATATAACTTGTAAGTCAAAGGTACATGCGCATACTGTTACTATTGGCAGTGTCGCCACGTTAAATGTCAGCTGTAACAGTTGTAAATGTGAAAGAGATTGCACTTGTACATTGTGTGTAACTGGCAGTACTGCCAAAACCATAAATCAGGTTACGAGTCAGACATCATATAAAGTTACGTTCCCTATCTTCAGATGCTTAAGTGGCCACAGGCCATTTTAAAGACTCAACTGGACATTAACTGGTCATCCTAGAACTGTTCTTTACTGCGAGCTACATAATGATTACGTGCTTACATACATTATGTATCAATAAAAATGTCTGGACAAGTACATAAAATGACAAAAGCACAATGTATATTATGGTCAATCCATTACTTCTTCACAAACTATTATACTAGGTGTAAAATAATACCCAAACTTTCTCAACTCTCCATTTCATTCATCAAAACGATAAATAAAATCGTCTTCGGTCAGGTTTCACAGTAAATTCTGGATCACAAAATAGAGTTAGAGTAGCCCAGTACTCTCCAAGCAGAGGTTGATGGGGGAAGATCCTTACCTTTTCAAATTTATATATGGCCCTTTTTTTGTCACTACCCCTAACAACTTGGATCACGCATGGACCCTCTCTGGCCAATGGATACTGCCTGGCCAATTTGATACTGTCTTTTGCCACCCTAGGATCTGCTTGGAGATTATAGCCCAGTATAGTGCTGGCAGCATTGGCCAAAGATCACAGACTTAATATTGATTTTCTGCAGTTTGATATGAAACTATATTGTTTTCAAGACGAGTTCTCTATCACCCAGACTGACCTTTACTTCACGAGTACATTTCTTATCAGATACGTCTCCTATCGGGATTTATGTAATTTTCCTCAAAATTGTGAGGAATGATGGATTTGAATAGCCGGGAGCTTCGTTTTGAGATGTAAAAATGCGTCTAGCATGAGGTGATAGAATCATGTCACATTTGATAGATTCTTTGCATAAGTCATTGGTGCATGGATGGAGACTTGTCCAAAGCCTGTGTTTGAGCTTTTGGGAGGACTTGGATGTAAGCTTTTTCAAGATCAGGCTAAATAAATTTGAAAACAAAGTCAACTGCAAAAGATCAGAGTTTCAGTTCATTTGAATGATTCAAAAAATTAAAAAGTACATGTACATTGTCAAATATGACTATAAATTATGACATATTTTATACTTCCATCTAATGCACTGACTAAATCTTATTAACATCCTTCACTGTGCAATTTTTTTCAGGCTCTAAAAGATAGGTTTTGGACAAAATTAACCGTCCCACCATACATTGTACATATAATGTATGGATTATTTTGAAAGGTCGGAATATTTTTCTGGCACTTCTAACATCTCAGAGAGACGTTAGGAATGCAATAATAACTTTAAAAACGTCTCTCTGAGATGTTAGAAGTGACTTAAAAGTGCAATGACACCTGAAACCACAGAGCTTAAGAGGGACTAATAAGGACTTTGCCCCCTCAGCATATTATCATAATGATAACATTCAACATTACATATTACATTATACAACGACCTTTGATAGAAATAACAATCATGATATCATCTCAGAATTGTAATTTAGTAGTCTTTGAAATTTTGCTGCCAAGAATTTGTTATCGTCATTGCTATTGTTCAATATGAAATTATAGGAGTTTAAATATCGAGACATACAACCTTCTGATAGCTTACTTTAATGTACATAGTTGAAATATTTGGGTTTAAGCTGTTGGAAAAAAAATTGTAAACAAAAAAATGTGTTCACTTATTTGCATAATTATCAATCAATAGTTTGTGCTTATACACCTGCAGTTCTCCTGCAGTTCTTCAGAAATTTAAAGGTAGTGGATGCTACCTGAAACGTCTGACCGTTTCAAAAATCATATCCAGTTGCTTTAGTAACTGTTTTGTGGCGTATATTATTACCTGGATGTCTAACCTTCACCTATTAAGCTGTTGGAGTTTGCCCCTTGGTGCATTATCGTGATAACAACCCTGAGTTCTGAACAAAGGTCACAGGTCTCATTTGTTTGACCCTTTTGCTGTATATATGCCAATATCTGCCTCTTCTTGTCCCAATACCGAGTTAACAGCCCGAAAACCCCACTACAATTTATAGAACACGTACAGCTCACCGATAGTTTAGATCTATAAGCACAACAAAACCAGCTTTTCTCTAACTAATGCGGAATAAATGGCCCATAACTCTTACTGAGGACATACCACACTTTTGTCAATGGTATATATATAGAATTTAGACACTGGTCTCACGGGGACTGTTCTAGTGTTCACCATGAGGGACAGAGGGTACTGGAGTGACTTTGTCAAGAGTGCCTCAACGGATTAAAATCTAAAGGCATGACGATGATGATGAAATCTCACTGTAATCTACAAACACGTATTTAGCCAATAGCTAGAGCCGATAAGTGCACAAATGTCCAGGGGTCCCCCCAGAAATTCTTAGGGGAGAGGTGCTCCCTAATCAGTTGATGAAAAAAATAAGTAGCCTGGTTACCAAACCTATTATAGCTCCCGAGTCCTACATCCTCTCGGCCAATACTATTTGCGGAGAGGATGTAGGACTCGGGAGCTATAATAGGTTTGGTAACCAGGCTAAAAAAATAAGCGAATTTTCATTAAAATACTAAGAGAAAACCCTAAATCTATACATTTTGGTGGAGGTGCTTCAGAGAGAGAGGGAGGGAGCACCCTTGCTTCATTGCTTGGGAGAGCCCTGAAAAGTGTAATACCGATAGGTCATCATCCGGACATGTTCTGGCTACAAGCTTCGATCGAAAGTCGATGCCAGACCACTTCTGGCCAAACGCCATTAGCCCCAGATATCGGAGATTGCAGAGCATTACGTACCACCCCCCTAGGACTTAGGCCACATCGACTTAATTTTATGGATGACATCCGCGCGCGCATTGATTTTCACCTGTTCTCAGAAAAAGAAAGAAAAAAAAAAAGATCACGTCCTCTGAAGCTCTGGGCCTGGGTAGTCCATAGCAGTAAGCGACATTATGGAGCTGGTGATAACCCTGGAGGATGGCACCCAGGTTACAGGCAAGAACTCAGTACATACGTACAGTACCGACTCATAAATTCCGCAAAAAGCCAGCATGTGCTTGTCGTATACGTCGCTATGTACTGCCGCAAGTTCACAATACCAGCTTTGTATTCCTGTGGTTTAGTAGCATTTTTATTTTTGGCCTGAATTTTTTTTAATTCGCCCGCCCGCACTAGTTTGGGGGTCTTCAGAGGATGTCATCCATAAAATTAAGGCGGTGTGGCTTTACAGGCTACCAGAGAGGTTATGGATTTTCTACTTACCGCAGGTACAATGGTGTGGCGATTGGGATTGCCACTTTTATGGCTGTAGCGATATATGAAAGGTTTCAAGTGTGCGAATAATACACTGGTTTTATGAGTTCTTCTCTTACTTGTATTGTATTGGCTCAATTTACTTCTTCCTGGCTTTAGGAATTTGTAGGAAACCTGTTACAATGTGGCAACTGAATTTTCTAGTCAACTTTATGGATGCAGACTGTTCAGAGCCCATTGGCATTATTTCTTTTATATTTCAGAGGTAGTAACAGTCAAATAAAAATCCACAAACACTGACATTAATATGTAATCCTGGTACATGGACCAGTGCATGTTAGGTGCAGGTAGGCATCAGAAATACCTGCACAGCCCCAATCTTACCTGCACTAACAGGGCTCAAAATATTGGGTGCATGTGCACCTTGGTGCACCCAAAATTTGGAGCTGTGCACCCAATTTTTTTCTGGGTAAAAATTCATTTTTGCTGACATTCTACTTTAGTCTTTACATGATGCATTAGGTTGGGTGCACCAGTGCACCCTATTCTCAAAGTGAATTTCGAGCCCTGACTAAGGTGCATTATCCAGTATTTCGAGCCCTGAAAATCTATGTGAAATTGTCTCTCTTATTCGTCCCTCACTGTCGAGGATGACCAATGGCCTTGGCTCTTCACCGTTTCGGTTGATGGGTCTGGAGATGGCTGATCCAGGCCAGGAAACCCACATTTTGAGCACCAGTGGGTGGGTGTGTTGCTCGCACTACTAGTTGCAGGTTGCATGCTTCTCACCTCATAGCCTGGGTGCCAGCCCCATAGCACACTGGACACAAGTATCTCAGTGAGCTCAGTGAGATACTTTGTGTCCAGTGTGCTATGGGGCTGGCACCCAGGCTACTCAACTCAATGTGAAATTGTAACACACTGTTGAAAACCTTACCTGTGTGAGTGTGCTGACATCCCTCCTGTGTCTCCCCCCTATCCTGTAGGCCTCCACCTCCTCGTAGTGTCTCAACTTCCCCAGCTGACGTGCCCTGCCTCGCAGACTCTGCCATGCTGGGGGGAACAACAACAACATTTTTCTTCACTTCATACTTTTTGGATAAAGAAAGTTTATTGCAAATACATGCCAGGGGGCTAACTGTACAAACAATATGTATGAAAAAAAGAAATTACAATCATTATGATATAAGAGACTATGTCTAACATTATACTACATTCTACAATATACTTGGTACTAGTATTGCTGGATTTGACTTCTTCTTTTGAGGCAGTGGAAGATGAATTTACCCACTTATACATGTTCAACTTGAACTACAGATTCCATTAGTCACTGATGAAAAGAAGTGGATACTACTTAAAACGTGGAAGGAGTTACACTTTTTTTGTGGCATCCTCAACTGAGGTGAGGACTATCATGCCTCTTCAAGTGGCTTACAGTACAATGCAGCTTTCCTACAGCTTGCAGTTTACACACTGAAGCACGGTTTTTACTTGAACAAATTTAAAGGGACAATGAAAATTCCGAGCTTTATCAAATTTCAGTACAAAACGTAGGTTCTCTTATCCTGAAAGTTAAGTCCTTCCACTTGTACACTTTATTCTAAGAATGCATTTCCATTTTTTGACAATGGTAAGAGGTAATATAAATGTATGTTATAATTTGTCACGACCTGAGTTAGGACAGTTCATTTAGTTTCTAAAACAAAACAAAACCACGGACTTCACAAAATGCCAAATCCAGTGACATCAACGCAGTTTCTGATGAAGACCAGAGCCAGAACTGGTCCGCGATCACGTAATGACGTTATATCACAGTAGTTGGAGCCTTTGTCCAACGACATTGTGTCGTCCCAACATCATTTGTAACTGTCCGCTTAGCATGAATGATTAACGAGACAGGTGTCGTTTATATTACGCTTTGCGCATCTGGCTACCTGTTGCAGTCAAGAACTTGAATAGTGTACAGTTTCCTTCCGACACTTTTGGGATTTTCAATCATTTCGGACAGTAGTACTAGTACTCGATCACTCTTTATGTGTCAGTCTACGCAGGTTATTGTTTGACGAACAATATATTAATGAAATGACGGACACAGCGACAGGTAGACACAGACAGCCCAGCTCAACCTTCACTCTGGTTTTATAATTGGACTACTGTGTGATTTAATAGGTAAATGGTGATATTTTTATTCTTCACGACATGTGTAATGCGTAAGTGAGGCCCCCACAAGTACATGCGATCGACATAAGTCACGAAACCAGTAGACAGGCCGCCGACATACGGTATACAAAGTAGGTCATTAATTTCTGTCCCAGTGTTTCCAGTGCCAGTGTGTCAATGTCAAAACTACCAAACCTCTAATACTGAATGACATCAGAGCTTGCACTGCTGAGTTGCAGCAATACAGCATTTTTCATAAGCAAGTTCTTATATATAATAAGTTCCTCAATTTATAGAACACTACAAAAAGTTCAAAGTAGTTATTTGTGTAAAATTCCTCTGTTGGTTATGGGTTAGGCAGCAAGGAGAAGTTTAAAAATCATCTTATAAGGCTTACTAGAAATTTTACAGCAAGCTTGGGACTACATATATTGTACTTTCGTCGATCTGTCAATGTAGACAATAGATATCATTGAGCAAAGTGATCCTGAAGTCTGTTTTTCCGTTTGCTATGGTAACAAAAAGAAACTTTGGACATGTTAAATGATGACAAATGATGGTGTGGTCTATACAAAGACCTATCGACTGTCATGGCATTATAACAAGCTCATTGCCTACGAAATTTGCCTGAAATGTATCTGACACATAAGAGACATGTACAATTAATTTTACTCTTAATGATTGTCCTGGCTAATACCAGAAGCAAGCCTGGAATTTTTCCAGATCTCGTGGACATGTGTCTAAATGTCATCTTGTTCAAAATAATTGATTATTTTACTGTTTCATCGACAGTGGGATAAAAGAAATAATGGCAATGCTTTCTGAACAGTTATTAGTATAATCCATACTTCTCAAAGTCTGAATAAAAGAAATAATGGTAACGGTTTCTGAACAGTTTGTTAGTTTTCTAAAAGTTTTATAATCCACTATTATTATTCTCAAAGTCTGAATGGTGCAGGTAAAATTTGTCTGGTGCAGGTCATTTTCAATGTTACCTGCACCTGAAAATATACATGTATACAGAAAATCTATTTCAAACCCTGAACTTCTTGACTTGTATATTTATAATTATATATAATACATCTATTTTTCATTGCCACACTATGCTAAAATTAGAGCTAATCTGTATCTTGTATCTATATATATTAAGTAAACTTACATGAACACCTAACAGTGTGGAAATCAAAGCATTATCATCCATTAGATATATCTAGAGATATGAAATAACTGGGGCTATTTATATTCCAATAACTAATGATATACATCTGGTAACACGACAGGCGTAAAACGAATGACTTAACAGCACAGCAGAGCGCCAGCCACTACTGGACCACTGCCTTCCATGCCTGCGGCCTATTTTCCCCATATAAGCTGCAAGGCCACACCAATCTAATTTGTTGATTCTCAGATTTTTTTTCAGACAATATTGATAGATAGCTTTACTGCATTAGTTCTTGCCTGAAGGCTAATTGCAACAAACATTGACAGACATGAGGAATGGTACAAAACCATAACTAGTCTAAGAATGAAGTTCTACATGTTCTACGTACGTTCTGCTAATCTTTCTATCTCTACTTAAAACTAATACGTGATGTAGAGAGTGGACATGTAATGCATAAATTGGTAAGAGAAACATACTAACTACAATATAAAGCATATATTATATTAAGTATAGAGTATAAAGCACGGGAAAAAAACGGGCCAAGGCACCCAAAAATTGTTGCACATCATGTACATGTTGTACAATGAAATCCACAAAATTGACTTGCTCTGGCCGAACATGAACGTTAACAGTGACAAATTACAACTCCTTACAGTCGGTGGATAAAGTGATGCATCACAAATCTATAATTCATACTTCAAAACATGACGTGCATTGTTCCAATGTCTGCACAGGAATTCTGCTCTACGTTTGACACATACCCAATTGCATGCATTACATTTCAACTCACAGACCACAAAATACCTTTTCTTTCAATACTTTTCTAATAAAGTAAGTGTGAGAGCTTTGCAAACTTTTTACAGGCATATGAACCTGTGAGACACCTGCTAAATGTTTGTTTGCTCAACAGTTGCAGTCACTAATTACTTACTAGTGGAATGGGGTTAAATTGTAATCCCGCGTTAACTGTACCTGAGTACACATTTGCAGAAAAAAATATATATTTTAAGCCCTGTACCAGTTCACACAGGTGCACTTTAATCCAAGAACAACACCAGCTTACTAAGGAGAAGCATTTCTAAAAGGTCTCAAGAGCCATGGCCTGGGCACCTAGTGCATACTTGTGACAGACATTTTGACTGAGACACAGACAAATCCCTGTCAAGCCCTAGTGTTATGCCTTTGGGAAGATCGTGACTTTAGTTTACACCTGTATTGTATTTCCTCACTCAACTCAGGTGAGAATGAGTGCCTAGCTTCAGTTAGGGATGTCCTCTCGGATGACAAAGCAACCAAACACAACATAAAGCATACAATTGTAGCCTTGGCAGGTGTTCTCTCCTTTTGCAGTTCCCAGTCATCTGCAACTGGTACAGGTGAGAACAGATCTGGACTGTGTTTAAAGGATCACAAAACAAGATTAAGATTGTCTAGTATCATCCTAACCATGGTGTTCTGACCTGTACCAGTCACAGGAGACAGACACCACAGAGAATAGGAGGGAACGGGAACTATGCGGCACTTTGTTTAGTTGCTGTTGTTTGCAGTCAAATCAAAGAAATTGTTGTTGGCAAAACAACGGCTTAGAATTTCTCGGATGGTTCTGTCGGACGGCCTGACAAAAAACGTTCGAGGGGTCAGAGACATGGCGTCGGAAAGACGCGTGCATCGAATGTCAAGGTTCTGACTTCATTCACAAGTACAGTACTTCAAGTACAATGTAGTTGACATGCATCTGTACAGGTACTGCAGTGTTGCAGTGAACTGTACAGGGCTCAAAATACTTTTTTCTGTACGCTTGCACTGGTACAGGTAACATTGAGAATTACCTGCACCAGACACCAGGCAGAATTTGAGAAGTAAGAAGAATCAGACTAAAAACTGTTTGACAGCCATTGCAATCATTTTTGATACTTCATATAGGTGGCAATGCAGCAAATAAAAGTCCACATATACACCTACAGCTTATCATCTATAGATAATCCTAATACATTTACCAGTGCAGGTAGACATCAGAAATTCCTGCAGAGCCCCAATTTCACCTGCAATACATGTAACTTGCATATGCAGGAGGTATTTCTAGAGCTGACATGGTTTTGCAGACATCTTAAGCTTGTTTGTCTTCACAGATGCGCATGTACAAATAAACATGCTCACTACTGACCATGACCACATTCAGGTAAAATGTGGAATATTTAACCTTCTCCCTGCTGCCTAACCCTGTAACCAATTTTGTGCCAAAAGTTGGAAACTACAGAGGATGGCACCCAAGCTAAATTCAGCAGGGAGAATAAAATGAAATGTTTAGAGTGCAACTTCAGTCACATTTTAGTTTAATCTTAATGTAAGACTTCCCAGATTTTATGTTTTTATCACTGTATATCTTACTTTTACTTTTTATAGCTTTGCACTAAATAAGATAAAAATGCTGAAGCTAAACAACTATAAACAACAGAACTTTTCCCATGACTTCCAATATTGCATCAGGTCATGTTACAAGTATTCCCGTCCAGTTTCCATGTGTTCACTCTAAACATTTCCACTGAAAAACATATTTGGGAATAAAGCCACCGTCAATATTGTCTGTATCTCACCCTCCTTTCAAAACATATTTACGTGTCCGTCAGCGTGTGACAGCTGTAACAATATTATTATAAACTAAAGAAAAACACCAAGTTCTTGACATTGTTGTCATCCGTTTTGTATGCAACACGGTACCAGGAAAAATGAC